TCAAAAGAAACTTCGAACAAATTCAAAAGAAAAGAATATATTTGCAACTCAAGAAATGCACAACTGAAAATACAAAAGAATTTTGACATTCAGGTTCAAAATTGACAAAAACACACAAAAACAAAACAAGAAACAGTTCCCAAAACTAAACCGTCACAAAACTGAAAATTGATAAAGAATCCTCCCAACTAAATATTTAACAGAAATATACCATACGGATAAACAGAAGAAAATAAAGCAAAATGAATGAAACAATCACACTGAGCACCCACACTGTGGGTATAATTAAAAGACAGCCTCTGAGGCTCGACCATAAAACAGTGAAATCAACCCACACCGAAACAATCCCAGCTGCTTTTAGGAGTAAAGCAGCGACCAGCCGGGCGACGACTCCTCACCGCTGCAGTGAGGAACACAGCCAAGCAAGGCAAAGCAGAGTCCAGCAAAGCAGAATGAAGCAAAGAGGACGAAGCAAAGCAGCAGCGTGGTGAGCAGAGGCACGTAGCTGCACTGACTCTCCAGTACAGCCAACGCTGCAGAAGACAAGAGGGAAACTTGTTTAAAAACACACACATGACAGCTAGCATGTTTAGCAACCATGAGCTACATACCTACAGGAGACGGCGGGTCACACACCTACAGGGGAGAGCGCGTCAGGAGTACTCAGACTGCCGCAGTGTCCTATAATCAGTGTGCAATTCAGCATACATGCAGCATTCTAGCCTGAACAGTTATAATGGAGAGACAAACCTACCAGCAGGAATCTGAATGAATTCACGGAGCGATCAACCAGCTCGTTTCCCGCGAACGTTTGAAGCCGCGACGAACCGGAGGTGAAGCGACCGGAAGGGGCGTGTCCTTGGCCTCAGTAGAAGAGAGAGAGCGTGCAGAGGGCCATAACCCACCTTATATAGTCCAACTAATGTGCCACGATTGGCTTACAAGCCCAGGACTATCCTGCTACACTAGCATCCTATGTGTAGGGCTACAGTCCCAATGTGGAGGTCATGAGTTAAAATCCCTCTCATGAGCCTTTCCCAAATGTCCTTTTCCCCTACTTTCCTTTCTCTCTCTCACTAACACGATCCAATAAAGGCACAAAGGCCAAAAAACTAACT